CCTTTTTGTTATACTTGTCTTTTTCACCTCTGTTTTCTCTAATTTGTTGTGTTTCCTCATCTCTCAGATTTCCTTTTCATTGAATCATAGAAAAATAGGACTGGAAAGGACCTAAAGAGGTCATGCAGTCCATCCCCTCCCCCCAGGCAGGATCAACTGTCCCTATATCATTCTTGACAGATGTTTGTCTAACCTGTTCTTAAAACCTTCAGTGATGGAGGTTCCTTGACATCCCTAGACAACCGAGGTCACTCTCCTTAGCATTAGAAAGGTCTTCCTGATGCCTGACCCTAGCCTCCCCTACTGCAATTTAAACCCATTACTTTCTTCTCCCTTCCATTAGGGCATATTTTGCCCTTGCTGTTTGTCCACATTTTCTGTAAAACCAGTAGGAGCTCTGTCATGATACAGGGCAATAATCTCTCAAAAGTTTGTTCTCTGTTTCCATTTAGACCTTCTCTTTCCTCACCTTATGCAAAATACCTTGTTACTCTATCACTATCATGTAACTTTCTGGATGCAGGGAACATCCCTGAGCTCATAATAAGACTTTAATACAGGACTCCAGTCATCCATCCCAGGTGTAGGAATATCCTACATACATAATTTAAGAACAAAATTTAGTCTTACAGACCTAATTCATTTTTCAGCTCCACAATTATCAATCAATACTACCTTTACTGTTGACAGCAGCATGTAAAACTGATGTAAAAGAAATACGAATCGAGAACTTTGCATTCTTCAGTTTATTCTTATAAAGTATGTGCTGCACTTTATGCTCCTCATATTCATCTATTCCTCTAGCTGTAGTGTGCATACATGTATTCCTGCCAGATACTGATCAGTGTTGCATACAGTCATCATTCTTGGCGTGTCTACTATATCCATCTACACAGAAAGGCACTTACATCAACTGCTTCTGCAATTTCTGTGCCTCCTTCTGTCTTTGGATGGAAAATGCACAACAGGCATAAATATAATTCACATAGTATGTACGTATCCAAAATTGGGAAAAGTCAGCTATCACAAGTTTGAATTGATTCTGTCATCTAGAATCTAATTCATAATCTGATCGTTGCCTCTCCTTAAGGCTATTTCTGGAGTGGAAATTATAGTGGATGAAAAGAGAGAGAGTATTTTAATGCAATTTCATGACACAGATAACTATCATTGTTCTTTAAGCAGGACATTTATGGCTTAACAGTCACGTCTGTAAAACAGGGGGTGTGCTGGAAATTATGTAGGGAGTTAAAGATGGAATCCTCCTCAGTCACTGATCAGGCCTTAAGGTGACTCTTCAGCCTCTCCAACCCCATTGCTCCCTTTTCCCTCACAAGCAGTGAGTTACAAACCAACAATCTGTAAATACCCCTTATATATTGCTATTACACCAAAGGTCACTGTGCAGCAAGACTTCACTAGCCATATCCCTTTTTGCACAGCTAAATTTTGAGAATTTCTTACATTTGTCCAAAGATGTATGAACATCTGACAAGAAAACTGCCAAGCTTCTGGGTATCCCAGTTACTTCAAAAATACATTTGCAAATGGATTGTGCAATACACGTTCAGGGAATCAAACATCTCCTAGACTTAACCAGCATACTGTGCATGTGCTACACTGTGGCTGTCTGCACACTTTGCATGCACTGCTGGAGAATGCAGCATGCCCTCTCATTCTGGCGCTTCCCGGAAGCTTCAAATTTATTGTGTGCATGTTCAGCACTTTTTCAGGGACTATGTATGTAGCATGGCTGGAAAATGTTGGATTTGCCACTTGTGTCTTACATGATCACATATTTGTCCCAAGAAATATTGATGGGAAATAGCATAGAATCATAAAAATTTAAGGCTGGAAGGTCAAGGTTCAAGGGATTATCCACTCCAGTCTGTTGTTGTCAGGCAGAGTAGCTATTCCAGTATTTGTTTAACTTGCTCCTAAGCGCTCTCGTAGGAACTCCACAGGTTCCCCCAGCAATTTATGCGAGTGCTTCACTGCCACATTGCACAGCTTTTCCCTGCATCTAATTTGAATCTTCCAGATTATTGTGCCTTAGTATCTCTGCTATAAAATGTAAGACAGACTCATTCTCTCTTCATTAGCTCTGCCTGTATTTGAGGCAGGCATCATATCCCACTTAGTCTTCCCTTCTTTAGATTAAATATGACCACTTTGTTCCAGGTGTCTTCGTAAGACTCAAGTAACTCCCAGGCCTTCAGCCACTCTAATTATTCTTCTCCAGTTGGTCCAGATTTTTTCTGAAGTGTTGTATCTAGCTGTGGACATGGTGCATCCCCCTGCCCGCAGAGTTCTTTCCAGCACTTAGTAGAAAAGAAGATTCTTCACGTGCACTGCAGTCATCACTCCCACTCACACAGCTTGGTAAGGGAGTTGCCTTTTCTTTGTTTATGCAATGCCCCAGGATTGCTGGTGGCATGTTAAAATTACAGGATCATTTTGAATCCTAACCCTGTATTCCAGACTACCAAAAGTCTCTTCCCAGCATGTCATCGGCATGTAAATTTAGTAAGCATATTCTCTTCTCCATCATCCAAGTTGTTAAGTAACTATTGAGTAGTGCAGAACAAGGACAGACTTCTGTGAAGCACCAGACATTCACATGTCCGTTTCCACAGATAGGTATCTATCGTCTCAGTTTTGTTTTCCAACTACTTTTGCATTCATTCTGCAGCAATTTCATCTAAACTGTTTCCCTAGGTTATAAAGAATGTCACATGGGGGAGTGTCGAGAGACTTGTAAAGTCAAGCCACCTACTGCTTTTTCCCTGTCCGCAAGGCCAATTACCCTGTCTTAGAGGGAGATCAGATTGGTTTGACACAGTTTGTTCCTAACAATCCATGTTGTCTCTTGCTACCTTGTTTTCTTGCGGGTGCTTACGAATTGTTTGATTATTTTCTTCAGTATTTTTCCACGGGTTGAACTTTAGTTGACTGGGCTATAATTTTGTAGATCTTTCTTTTTAAAGATAGCTGCTACATTTACTCCCCCATCCTCACAGATCAGCACTAACATCTTTAAGACTGTTCCAGATAGTGTGAAAGCATCTAACTCGTCTAAATACACTATGTTTTTTCCCTCACCTAGGTTGAAATCTTTAGTTTTGCCAGAGATTCCCTCGGACAACAGACCCAAAGACCAAACGCCTGCCTGTTTCCGAAAGCTGCAGTCTGGAGTGATGTGGCTGCAGCGGCTGGGCAGTCCGCTTCTGCAGCGTTCAGAGGAGGCCAGCCCTCCTAGTGGACTGCTTCCTTAGGAGAAGATGCTATAGTAGTAGACGTTCTGAGTTGGGAGCTCACTATAAATAAAATCCAGCCCTTAGTGATTTTTTTTTTAACGATGCCCAGTGTTTGCATGAGTCTGAAATTTGGAAGCCTTTCAATCTGATTCTCAGCTGTTATCCCTTTGATAAAGTGCCAGTTGGGGTTTTCTTTAGATGTGCTTGACTCAAAAAAACTACTTGAGATAATAAAATGTGTTTGTTTATTGATCCCTAGGGAAGTCAGAATTAGGCTAAAACTCATCAGATAAATAATTTTCATTATTATTAAAGGGTAACTCATAGTTTTTTGCTTCACTTTGTGTTTTATCATTCTGTGTGGGAGGTAGAAAAAGGTAATTTTTTCCATTCTTAAACAGACCCATAACAGGAATAATGTCATTAAAATTGTTCATATGTATTCCACAGAAAAGTGTCATCTTGAATGTGATCAGATACCTTTATCTACTGTGCCATACCATTTGTTGTCTACTTAGCATCAGTCATTTCTATGTGTTCTGGGAGCATATTATATATAATTTGAGTATTACTAATGAATTCAGCTCCTTTTCTGAAGTCATTTGTTCAGTTAAATATCAAAAGAGAAAAACTCGTACTCCTTAGGATTCAAATAGGCCTTTATCTTTCTGCCTTTCTGAGAATGCAGATAATAGCTATCACTTAAAAGTGGGGCCTTTTAGTACATTTTTGCAATCCTTTTTGGGCAATATCAAGAATCAACATAAAATAAAGGTATAATAAGTAGCAGTCACCTGAGTGTATCAGGACTAGATTACTGTATTATTAGGCTCTGAAAGGGCTGTACTGGACTACTAGAAACTAATTCAAAACTGTAAGGTCCATTGTGAACCTTCATTCTGTGGAAAGACTGCCCTTTGGGTTTGCTGGGAGTTTTATGTAAAAATCAGTGTCAGAGAATGTTCTTAGTTTTCAATCCCACATGAAAGCTTATTATAGGCAGAAGGGATTAATGGTTCTTTCCTTGCCCCTAGTGAACAACCAAAGACTACACTATTGTAAAAGTTGTAAAAAAATAATTTGTAAAGCCCATTTCATATACATGTGTGATACACAGTGTATCATTTGCACCTACTGTACTCACTAGACTTTTTAGGTGTGTCTTGACAGTTTTGCTGTGTGTTTTAGGCAAGGACAATTTATCAATTGAGAAATAAGATTTCAACATTTTGGTTTGTTTGCTAGATCTAATGTCATAAAACAAATTATTCCTTGCTTTAGGAAAGGGATTTTCCCCCAGTTTATCTTTTCTTCCCCATTCCTCCTCTTCTTGGCCCTGGTCCTGCAGTATGAAAGGACCTCTCTGAAACAATGCTGATTTGTATAAGAATCCATGTAGGGAATAGAAGTCTGACTTCATGAGTCAGAAAACAGGTAAGGACATGTATTTATTAAATCAGAATGCTGCTGTGAATGTCATAGGTATCTCATCACCCATTTCAAACAAATATTTAGCTTCTAATTAGATTAAGTATCTGGTTAAACTGAGAAAAAATGGCAAGTCAGAATTCAAAAGATCTCAGATTGCTCCTGCTGTAATACTCTGTCACCTGAACTAAGTCCACAGTATTTAATGCTCTTGTGGAATTTGCTCCCCAGAAGTAGATGGGTGAGATGGTGCATTGAAAGTTTCCTATTATTGCTTCATTTTCTAAATACCTATTTTTACATTTTAACATATAGCTCCATCAGCCCTCCCAGACGCAAGTGGGACAAGCAGCCTCACAACCCAATCTCCTGCATTTGGCTCACAGTCAAGCATCTATGTCTCAAAGCCCAGTGCGTCAGGCTTCCTCTTCTTCCTCCTCATCCTCCTCCTCTTCAGCTTTGAGTGTTGGCCAGTTAGTCAGCAGTAAGTATTGCTCCCTGGCTCTCCTTAATTCTCCCCTCTGTTTGTCCTCCTCACTGCTGAGTCTCCTGATCTGCTTCCCTGCCTTTTTTTTTTTTCATATAGTAGAGTGTATATTGCTAAGTAGAGTGACTCTTACAGTGAGAACTGCTAAGTGCTGTCATGGATGGGCCTTAAGGTAAACATGCCTTGAGAAATTGTAATCAATGCTAAAAATGGTCATAAAAATGGTAGCAGCCATTAATTGACTTATGAGGGCAATTCTTGTAACTGAAATGTAGTCTATGTTCTTTGGAAGTGAGAAGTTTTTGACCCAGTCAATATAATGAATTATATTGCTCAGAATTTGGTGGGCAGATAGATCCTCCTACTTTTGGTTAGGCTGCTTATTCATTACTGATTGTTTGCTTAGCTAGTGTGGCAAACCATCTTACAAACCCTAGCACTACACAAATCTAGAGCAAATCTGGAGGGAGAGACCTTTCTTTCTAGGAAAAGCTTGCACAATTTAAACAAGAACAAACTGTAGCATGTGGGAGAGGAGAAAGAAGCACACTGCAGTGAAATAACTGAGTTTCAGCGTTAGGATTATAACACCTGACCTCCTGAACAGCCCTTTCTTCCAGATCATACAGTTCAGAGTCTTTGTTATTACCTTATCAGCATTAACTTTGGTCTTTACATAGCAAAACCAACAGGTTAAAAGTACACATAAGAAGCACTAACAGTTTTGCATATCTGCAAAAATCTGAGTGTATTGGATGACCTTGTTCAAAGACACTCTATGTACATATTTCAAGTAAACAAACACTAAGCTCACACTGTATTGGTAAGGTAAAATATATGACTGATAGAAGCTTATGAACAACTTGGAGAAACTGTCATGCAAGGGAAGATTTGAAAAAGTCTTGGTTAGATTATTTCAGAGATTGTTTACACGGGGAAATTACCAACAGAGCTATAGTGGTAAAATTATGCTGGTAAGACTCCCATTGTGAATACCTTTATTCTAGAATAAAAATATCTGCATTGGTAGCTGTAAGTACATAAAATATATAGATACAGATATAATTATAGTGATATAAGTATACTGCTATTGCTCTGTCAGTAAATTTTCTCACGTAGACAAGCTTGTAGGAAGAAGAAAAATAAGAGGCTTCATGTTTAAAATACATAAAGTTACCCCTTGTCTATGTGGGAAAATTGACTAAAATAGCTAGTGCAGAATAAGTTGCTTTTCGATGGCTAGTCCAGAATAGCTTCACTTGTGGACATTCTTATTAAAAAAATATTCCAGAACAACTATTGAGGGGTACTCTACCCCACAATTTCCCCATGTGGATAAGCGCACCACACAATAAAAGCAATATGGAAGAAGCCCTATTAAGTTTACAGGATAAATCCATCAAATGCTAGGAGATGCTAGAAAAACAGCTGCTTGTTCAGCTCTGCTCAATTCCTCTTAGAACATATATTTTATAATAGTGATATATGTTGTGATTAAAAACACAATTGTGATTTTTTTCTCATCCATTTTTCAGTGCCCTCCCAATGGAATTGTTCTAGGGATGCATCAGAATTACTAATGCAACAGGTGGGCTTTTGTCCCAGGGTTTGTTCCCTACCTGACTCACTAGATTGTTACCCAGTTTGCTTCTCATTGGAGGTAGGGAGCTGTAGAAGGGTGAAGGATGGTCTTGCTTCAAGCTGTAGTGGGCTGAGGAGTTGAAGCTTTCTGTTTGCCATGTAATTACAGTGCAACAGCAGACAAGTCACTTAAAACAGATTTTTCACAAGTGCTCCCTCAATATCCAGCTTGAGACTCTGGACTTTAATTTACAGAAGAACCTTGTACTCACAGCTACAATTTTAAGTGCACTTTCACTGGGGAACTGTATAAAGAACCATTTAAAGACACAGTCTAAAAAATCATCTCCTACTTGACCTAGACTGGGTACCCAAAAATGCTTTTTCCCTTAATACCTGTCCACTTCTCTGTGAATAAGAAGGGGAAGACACTCATCTTGTAGAAACACAGGAAAATAAATTAAGATTTAAAAAACCAGAAGAGCTCAAGAGGAAATGTCTTTGGTGAAGAGCTTTAATAGAGGTCTGTGGCCACACAGGAGAAGGCAATGCATCACTCAGTTCCTCTGTAATGAAGCATAATTCATCCTGTGCACTAGATGAGGCAGAGGTCTGAGGAAAAAGAGCTGGTAATCCGGGACTCAAAGACTATGCAACACTGCGTTGTGGGCTACTGTAACTCCAGCATTTTGTAGCTGCTGAGTGTTTCTTTGTGCAACTCTAAAGATGTTCTTTTAGCTTCATATTTTGCTTGGATAAATTTCGCAGTTGTTACAAAAGCAGCATAGTAATGGAAGTCAGTCATATGGTGAGATAGTGCTTATATTCATAGTTGGATATATGAGATCTGCCAGTTGAATGGATGGAAAAGCTGATATGTTGTGTCATCGTCTTGTTGGTCCTACTCATGCTGTGCTCATGGATTTGGCTGAGAGCAGATGAGTATGAGGCACAGGAACCTCAATGTGCGGAAGAGGGGGAAGACACACTAATGAACATGGACTTTCTACTTGTTCCTCTCAGGCTTGACTCCTTCCACCAGTTGTCATGTTCCAGTCCCATTACTTCCTCAGGCTGTTCTCCACACAATCTGCACTCCCTTTGCCTCCACGCTTTTGTTCCTCTTAACTTCTCCCTGCAGCCCTTTCCCTGCAGTCCATTCATTCATTAATTACTCTTCCAGTTTCAGTTCCCCTCCAGCTCCAAGTCAGCCTCTGTCCCCAAACCATATCTGGGTCCCTTTTACCAGCCTTTTTATTAGCTAGTTTCTGTCCTCCTCTACCTTGTTTTCCCACTAGTGCTGCTTCTTTTTCCTCATTTTCTTTCCTCTACCACCTGATTACTATTGTCTGCACAGTCAGGCCCTCTCTCCCTCCACTCCAAACTCAAATCCCTCCTCCTTAGTAGTCTTCAGGTTTTTTCTCTTCCATCATTTCTTTTTCTTCAGACTCAAGTTAATTTTTGCCCACTCTGCATCCAAATCATGCAGATGCCACTCCCACCCTCCCTGGAAGCCATCAGCAGAGTGTGGAAAATGATCACCAAGAGAAGCGAATCAGTCTTTCTGTCTTTACTGCTGTCCTGGCCCAAAGCAGGCCAGAGCCACAACTATAGGAGGGGAGTTCTTTTCCATCTACTTCAGCCTTAGGCTCAAGTTAGTACAGAGAAAATCTTAAAGAACCTAAAGACATCTAGCAAATATCTGTTGAGTAGATATGAGCTTTGGAGCCTCACCTGCTTGGACCTGTTGGAGACAGATTACTTGGGATGGCAAGACATACCAGCTATCTCCCTTACAACTCTCAAGGTCATTAGGGAAACTGAAACTTCTTAAAGAAAAGAAGTTATTACAATTACAACTCAGTTAACTCAAGTGGGAAACTCAGACTAAAGAAAATACTTTTCATACAATCGGACTGGCGAAGGTGGTGTACTTGGGAATTAATTCACTGGGACCCAGATCTTAAGAGCATTCCAAAGGAAGAGGCTATTGATAGGGATCTCCTGTAAAAAAAGCATGATGATAATTACACAGAAATAAAAAGTTCTAGAATTGTTTTAAATTTATGTTTCCAGCTTCATCCAGTCCCTAGCTGTTCAAGATGAACAGACTGAGTAGTGTGAAGGGCAGATCAACTAATTTCTGCCATTCACGTAATGTTAGCACACAGACAGAAGTAGAACAGTCATCTTAATGGCTGTCCAGTGTATTGTTGAGAGCATGTAGCCAGCCACAAACTGGAGCTAACAATGCATGCATAAGCCTGCTTGAGCTGGCACGTAAGTGACAGTGTTCTAGGGCGCAAGAGAGCTACCTGGTGGTTTCTAGTAATGTGG